CACACTGCAGGTGCATCCAGTTTTCAGTTTTCTTTCATGACACAAACCTGGCACAGGTCTGTTGCTTTCTAGTAAGTAAAGTGACTGAAAGCCGAATGGAGAGTTTTTGTTTCCGATGTGAACCACATGGATATCCTGCATGGAACTGGAACTACTTACAACTTGTCCTCAAACCTAAAACCAAAAATGTGTCAGCATTGCCATGGCAAAAAGGAAATCCTGTGACAGTTGGCAGTCTATGAATGCCAACTACAGATGTTTGGCAGAGCTAGCATTAGCATAGAGCACAATAAGAAACTAAATGGAGGGATTACCACCACATTTTGGTACAGACAGAGGATGGTTGTAATAGCTCTGGAATTCTAGCGCCATCAAGTCAAAATGTATCTTTGATTTACCAAATACCTGCAAAACTATTGACATTTCCATCATCCTCAGCTGTACTTTGCTTATGGTGATAATTAGCACATTTTAGTATGTTAGCATTTAGCTGAAAGCACCACTGTGCCTGAGTACAGCCTTACAGAGCTTAGTCTTTTTATTAATGTAAATAATAATAATTGTCAGATAGTTCAGTCTAATGCAACAACATTTGTAGTTTGAAAGTATATTGGAAACATCTTTCAGTCTACTGTAATACAGTATAATTCAATACCACCAAACTGGCAACCTATGTGCACACACAGACCTGCACAATCTTATTACAGCCCATTTAATTAAGCCATGATTGTATTTTTGTAGAATTATGTCTTTAAATCTTGTGTGTTTACAGACATGAAGACGGCACTGTGCGTTTCTGGGATGCATCAGGTGTTGCTCTTACTCCGCTGTACAAACTCAGCACGGCCAATGTCTTTCACACTGACTGTGACCCTAGCGACGATCCCCAGGACCCTAGCGACGACCCCGACATGCAGCAGGAGGAGGAATGGCCTCCCTTCAGGAAGGTGAGAACTAAGGAGAAACAAGAGGAGGTCAAATGAAGTAATCATAAGACTCTTTCCTCTAGACATCAGGCACAGGATCTTATTTCACAAGCTGTGGGAATAAAAACAATCTGTGTTCACAGTCAGTCCTGTAACAGTACATCTGTGGCCTAATTTTCTCATCTGGTTGTTTTCATGTGTTTGGTTTTCAGACAGACCCACCCCATTGTTCCTGTTAATAAAACTCGACTCTGAAGGAACCGCAGTCTGATTCTGTTTTAACGGCCAGTTTTCTCCACAGAATTACATTTAAATGAACTGATTCAGCATCGGGAGGCAGAATTTCACATTGAGGGAATCTGACAGGACAGGAAATAGAGATGAGTCATGAAGCAAAACGCTCCATGAATATTTAAATCAGCTGGTTCTACAGTTGGAAATGTTTTTCAGTGTTTGGGCGGATGACCAAGATAAGCTGGGATCAATAATGGAAATGAGAGTAGAAGCTAATCTTGAGTGATACATTTAACGGGGAAAAATAGACTAAATTAGCCTATTTTCTCCTTTTACTCTCTTCTTTTCTTCCTATTCGCTCCCCCCACCTTTCCTCATGTCTCCTGTGGTAACAGAGCTGCATGTTCAGGAATGTGGCCCTCATATGGGATGAAGAGCCTTTCCTTTTTTCTCTCTCTGTAATGAAAACCAGACACATCAGCCCACTCTTTCTGTGCATGTATGTGTGTGTATGTGTGTTAGTGACCAATTTCTCCTACTCCTTGTTTTGCCAAGACACAACTCCCATGTGAGAGGGATTTCTATTGGAATTCCTACTGTGTGTGAGAGACAGATTAATGCACATGTTTGGCTGAGTGGGGAAAGGGGGGATTGTCCTGGCATTTGGCAGAGAATAAGAAGAGAGGCTGCCGTAAGAGGAAGAAGGAGAGCCTCAGGAGGGCATTTTGACATTGGGTCTGCCTAAACTGAATTAGTTTAGTCGGTTCAGATCAGAGATTTAGATTTATGTGACAAAACATGAGAAGAAAACACTAATGAGGACCCATGTTAATAAAATCCTACCTGTGTAGAGTGTTGTCTTTCATCTGTCAGTATCAGTTTACGTGTGTGTGTGTGTTTGTGTGTGTTTTTGTGTAGGTGGGATGTTTTGACCCGTACAGTGATGACCCCAGGCTGGGCATCCAGAAGATCAGTCTGTGCAAATACAGCAACAAGCTGGTGGTGGCTGGAACTGCTGGACAGGTAAATACGTGCATACAGTAACACACACATGCAAGGAGCTCTGTCACACACTATCTTGGGTTATTTCTAGAAGACACAAACATTGAGTGTTATTCTGAAGATTATGTGATTTAAAACCTGAAAATGTTTAAAAGCATTTTAGTAAGTTAAACATGTTTAAATAGAATTAAAATGTAATTTGAGACATTATAATGATTATATAATCAATTTTGTCAGATGAGTACTGTAAGATTTCACATACATGCAGTAGCCACACACCTAAATAATGCATGTTAATACAATGCACACTTTGCCAGCTAATAATAGACCAATCATATCTGCAGCATGCCTGTGTACATGTGTAATTTACTGTATTATTTGCTTGCCAGCAGTTAATTTGCTAATGTTAACTAAATAGCCTTGTGTTGCATTTTCTCTGGATGAGGTGAGGCTGGCTGATTAACTTGGCAGACAGAGAGTTGCAGCTGCAATCACACAAGCACTCTCACACTTCATAGCAACTCAGCTGTGATGGTGGAGGTTTGTTATTTCCAACAAGACCTAAAGTCCCTACAAACTGTATTTAAGTGCTTATGATCCCCACAATAAAAGAAAGTGTTGGACTAAACAAGTTCAAATCTGCATACTGACAGTTTTGCTAATTTACCAGTAGTTGTGGTGACACAATAGATAGCTCTCCTGGTAGAGCTGGTTTGAGTCCAACCTGTGGCCCTTTGCTGCATCCCATCCTGTCTATCTTCAGCTGACCTATCCAATACAAGGCAAAAAGCCCTCAAGAAAGAAAAATGTGAAAATGTGACACAATAGAACAATCCTAGGGTCAACATTACCAGGGCTCATACTTTTGGGAGCAGATTTCCTGGCATTCAGCCTTTTAGATTAAGAGATATCTCGTGTGCAAATCTTGACATTTTGACTGTGGGTGATGCTAAAAGAAAGCTCAAAGTGTACAAATTGAAAGTTTTCATCCGCAGTGGAGCATGTGCTCTATACATTTCATGACAATCTCGCCTTCAGATTCTGATATTTTATAATTATAAGTAAATGTTTTGTCCTGATAGTGGTGCTAGAGGGGAAAGTTGGGGCATCTTAAAACATCCATCCTTTGGAGACTTTAAATATGGATGACTATCATGAATATTCATACCAAATAAAATATTTTTTTTTCATGGACTACAGCACATTTAGAAAATCACATAGCTACTTCCAGCTAAATGAATATTCGGGGTCTTTGAGCACTCCACATAGATAAATAAATGTCGAGCTCTGACAGAACTGATAATAAACTAGCTATTATTAATACTTTTTACAAGCTGTAAAAGTAGCTCCACCTTCCTTTACTGCTGCCTATTTAAAATTAGGAGGGATTTGATGTTATGAGATTCCATTTTGTGGTTAGACATTTCCAGGGCACTCAGTCTTCCACTTTATAGAGAAAAGGAGCTCTTTTATGTGATAATTATTTGAAAAACTGAGTCATACAAGACAAGTGTGCTTTTGTAATGGTCAGTTCCTACTGTCACACATTTCACAGAAAATACACAACACAGCCATTCCCCCAATAACTAACTGCAACTGATGTCTCTTACGTTGTTGTGTACTTAAAAAAAAAAAAATAAAAAATGTACTTAAGGAATAAAGAAAACAATGTTTCTTCACTACCTCCATCTCTCCAGGTGATCGTTCTGGGTTTGAGCGACGAGCGTTCTGACCACCTGGTGGACGTGTCGGTGGTTGATCTGCTACAGGACAGGGAGGGCTTCACCTGGAAGGGCCACGACAGGCTGGAGCCGCGTCTTAAACCCGCCCCCTTCCCCCCAGGCTTTCAGCCGCTAGTGCTGGTGCAGTGCCTGCCCCCGGCCTCTGTAACGGCGGTGGCGCTGCACGCAGAGTGGAACCTGATCTCCTTCGGGACGAGTCATGGATTTGGCCTGTTTGACTACCACAGACGAAATGCAGTACTGGCCAGGTAAGGGACACACACAGCTCAGTACAATAACACACATGAGGCAATAGTCAATGACAATTTCATGAAGTTAATACAACCTGAAAACAACATACATTGCATTTCTTTTGGCCAGTGCCATTAAAAAAACAGGCGAGGGCAAGCTGACAAATGTACAATATTGCGATTCAAAAAGCATCACCCTACTGCTCTTTATGTTCTACTAGGTGCACCCTGCACCCTAATGACTCCTTGGCAATGGAGGGCCCCCTTTCCAGAGTCAAGTCCTTGAAAAAGTCCTTACGACAGAGCTTCAGACGCATCCGCAAGAGCAGGGTGTCGGGGAAGAAGCGCACCATCACCACACCCACCAGCAAGGTAAAGGACTGTCTCTTTTTGGTAGAGAGACATGGACTGAATTCAATTCAATTCAATTCAATTCAAATCAATTCAATTTGTATAGCGCCATTTCATAACAGAAGTTATCTCAGGACACTTTTCAAATAGAGTAGGTCTAGACTGTACTCCTTATACAGTTATTTACAGAGACCCAACAGTTCCCACCATGAGCAAGCACTTGGCGACGGCGGCAAGGAAAAACGTCCTTTAAAGAGCCAGAAACGCTTGAGTAGACTCCGGCTGCTAGGACTCAGACCTTGACAATATTTCCTCCATCGTCCAAAGTTCTTTTTCAACTTGTCCTATATGACATAAAAGGTTTTAACACACGTTTCTATTTTTTTTTCTGTTTTCTTATGAAATTTCCATCCCATGCCAGAAGCAGAACATAATGCAGGTGTTTTTGGACAACTATGTGTACTTGCAAACATCTGCATCTTGTAATTTACCACACTGTGTACTTATTTTCTCTCCCAGTGCGCCTGCTGTTCTGAAATCAGGCCATAAAAAACACCTGGCATATGGGACGTGTGTTCTGACAATCAATCATTCAGTGGCCATCAGGGATTCTAAATTATTTGGAAACAAACTTGCCTGAGGGAGTCAGGGTGACAGATGTATTATCAGTATGTGAATGTTTCATCAAAAGAGTTAAAGCCTTCCTCTACTGTTTGCCTTTTACTAAATATATTCTCTGATACTGATTTTTTTTTTATATATATGCTTTTGCCCTCTCTTTTCAGGTGTGACTACGGTTCTCACAATGACAACCCTGAGTATTAGTGCCCGTAATTCACTGCCCAAGGTGGCCTATGCTACTGCCATGGATTGGTTTATCGCTGTCTGCTATGCCTTCGTCTTCTCTGCACTCATT